GCTTTTGAAATGTCAGCATCTACAAAAATACTGAAATACCTCCCAAATTTCAGCTTCCCAGACTCCCAAAGATTCCAAAATTCAGATTCCCAAAGATTCCGAACTCCAAAATCCCAAAGATTCCAAACTTCAGAAAATCAATCTTAATCTTTTCATTTCCTGTGGATTCAAGAACTTGACCTCAACCAACTCCAACATTTCTGCACCAGCTGGAGCCTTACTGGAAGCACCCAAGGGATTTTCACCGGAACAAGGAAAAGTGGGATGATTTGGAGGGAAATGCCCTTGGAAAAGTGGGAAGATTTGGAGGGAAATCTCCTTGGAAAATGTGGACACTCACCAAAATTCATCCACAAAGGTCGTGCTCTCCCTCGTGAAGAGTGCACACCAAAAGATTCTGATTTTGATCACATTGCAAAATTCCCTTAATTTTTCCACAGGCTGACTGCACCACACCTCACAGGGATCAACTCCTGGAAGGGCAAAAAAAATGGGAATTACAGGGCACAATTCAGGCATTCCAAAGTTCCAATAAACATTAAAATAAAGGATTAATTCAGGGATTCCAAAGTACCAATAAATATTAAAATTAATCATTATTTCAGGCATTATAAAGTACCAATAAATATTAAAATAAAGGATGAATTCAGGCATTCCAAAGTGCCAGAAAACATTAAAATCAATCATTATTTCAGGAATTCCAAAGTATCAGTAAATACGAAAATAAAGGATTAATTCAGGAATTCCAAAGTGCCAATAAATATTAAAATCAATCATTATAAAGTACCAATAAATATTAAAATAAAGGATGAATTCAGGCGTTCCGAAGTGCCAATAATTAAAATCCAGGATGATTTCCAGCCTGTATTCCTGACAAACCAAAGCAAGGGAATCTGAACACTCCGAACTCACCTGGTAATTGAGGGGGTTTTGGAGAGGGGGTTTTTATGGAATTATGGATAGGGAGCTGCTGGAAGGTTTTGCACCCCTGTATTCTGAATGGATAAATTAAGACAAAAATGGATAAATTAAGATAAAAATGGATAAATGCAGCCTCTCCTTGCTGGGCTGGAAGGGAATGTTCTTTTCCAGGAAAACATCAGCCTCTTCCACCTGTATCCATGAATTATTCTGGACAAGAATAATTGAATTAAGCAGGGCAAGAGGGCACAAAAGCATCAGGGTTTGTCCTCAAAAGCATCCTGCAATTCCCAGAATGTGGATAGAACTGGGAGGGATGGAGGGGAATTAAAAATTAAATGGGGGCATTGAGGTGGCTTCAAGTCCTCCGGAGGAAATTAAAGTTTATTGGGGTGGCTTCAGGTACTCTCAGAGCAGAGCAGCCTCACCTGACAGTCGGGAAAAGACAGACAGGGAAATAAAAGGAAAAAACCCATGGAAAAATACACACACCAAAAAAAAACCAAAAAAACAAAAAAAAAAAAAACAAAAAAAAAAAAAAAAAAAAAAAAAAACCACCAAACAAAAAAAAAAAAAAAAAAAACAACCACCAAAACAATCACTTTCCACAGCTGTTTATCTGCTTATTCCCACAAATTAGAGGGTGGTGAAGAAAATATAATTTTGAATTTGAGCCATCTGTTTTTCTGCAACTGGGAATTTTTGGTTAATTCTTACTGCAAAACCTTCTCTGCAAAAAAACAAAAAAAAAACCCAAAAAATGGAAGTTGTTTTTAGACCTACACAGCTAAAACCACCAGCCTTGAATCTCCATCCTCACAGCATTCATTGCCTGCATTTATGTAAATATTACTGAATATTTAAGTTATTTTAGGAGAAATAGATGAGAATTGTTCCAGGGTAACAGAATATAACAATGCTTCTGCTAAAAAGTAATAATGAACCAACTTTCAGGCAAAATAAGGAAAAGTAAAATTAAATAGCAATTCAAAGATCCAAGAAATGGAAGAATATTGGTTTCGTTTCCATACCTGTTTTAGGATTAGGCAGCACTGTCTGTCCAAAGGTTCCATGACGCTAAAGATAAACACAATACTTACATATTTATATGTAATATATTTACATATTTACCATTTATTACATTGCACAGCCAATAGCAAGCAAAGAAAGCGTTTTGTTTGGAGAAAAAAAGAGTATTTACCTGCATCCCCATTAAAAAAATGGCCATATGTTAATGGTTATGAATGGACAAGAAAAGCTTTACTCACTTATATTAAAATTTAATTTACTCACGTTTATTAAAATTGTAGTTAGTTTATTAAATTTCAGTTAAGTTTAACATGTGTTTTTCAGAGGCATGTATAGCTTTTTAGTGGTTCTACAGACTGCCAATTACACAGAAGCTTTTACATTATTTCCATAAATGATTCTTATGTAAAACCATGACACTGACAGGGAAAATTCATCAGGAACTGGAGCCACAGGACACAGGGAATGGCTCCCACTGCCAGAGAGCAGGGCTGGATGGGATCTTGGGAATGAGGAATTGTTCCCTGGCAGGGTGGGCAGGGCTGGGATGGAATTCCCAGAGCAGCTGTGGCTGCCCCTGGATCCCTGGCAGTGCCCAAGGCCAGGTTGGACACTGGGGCTGGAGCAGCCTGGCACAGTGGAAAGTGTGCCTGAAATGGCAGGGGTGACACTGGATAGGATTTGGGGTCCCTCCCAACCCAAACCAGTCTGGGATTAAATAAACAGAGCCTTGCTGGGCACAAAGAAATGCGTAAAATTGGAAGAGACTGGAAGAACAAAGAAGGGGCAAAGCTGCAGTCACTGCAGAGCTGAAATCCCAGGGACCCAGAGCTGAAATCCCACAGGCCAAGAGCTCAAATCCCAGGAACCCAGAGCTGAAATGTCAGGAACCCAGAGCTGAAATGTCAGGGACCCAGAGCTGAAACCCCATAGACCAAGAGCTGAAATCCCAGGAACCAAGAGGTGAAAACCCAGGAACCAAGAGCTGAAATCCCAGGAACCCAGAGCTGAAATCCCAGGAACCAAGAGCTGAAATCCCACAGACCAAGAGGTGAAAACCCAGGAACCAAGAGCTGAAATCCCAGGAACCCAGAGCTGAAATCCCAGGAACCAAGAGCTGAAATCCCACAGACCAAGAGGTGAAAACCCAGGAACCAAGAGCTGAAATCCCAGGAACCCAGAGCTGAAATCCCAGGAACCAAGAGCTGAAATCCCAGGAACCAAGAGGTGAAAACCCAGGAAGCAAGAGCTGAAATGCCACAGGCCAGAGGCCAAGAGGCATGAAAACCCAGGGGCCAAGAGCTGAAATCCCAGGAATTCAGAGCTGAAATCCCACAGGCCAAGAGCTGAAATCCCAGGAATTCAGAGCTGAAATCCCACAGCCCAAGAGCTCAAATCCCAGGAACCCAGAGCTGAAATGTCAGGGACCCAGAGCTGAAACCCCATAGACCAAGAGCTGAAATCCCAGGAACCAAGAGGTGAAAACCCAGGAACCAAGAACTGAAATCCCAGAAATCAAGAGCTGAAATGCCACAGGCCAGAGGCCAAGAGGCATGAAAACCCAGGGGCCAAGAGCTGAAATCCCAAGAAAGCAGAGCGGAAACCCCAGGAAGCCAGAGCAGAGTGCCCTGCAGGGCCAGGGTTTGATGTGTGAGGCTGAGCTGCCGCAGCCCAGGAATGGCCACAGGACCGACAGGCTGGGCAGGCTGTGCTGACAGGAGCTGCACTCACCAAGCCCCTGCTGCTGTCAGGGCACACAGGCTCTGGCTCTGCCCCAGTTTGGGGTTTTTGTAAGGGAGTCATGGCCAGGGTGAGGTACCTGTATGGCAGCTTGAGTTCATCAGCACTGGGAATGACTCTGGAGATCTGAGCAGAGAATCCCAGAATGATTTTTGTTGGAAGGGGCCTTAAATATAATCCCATCCCACCTTGCCATAGCAGGGACACCTTCCACCATCCCAGGCTGTGCCAAGCCCCAATGTCCATCCTGGCCTTCGACATTCCAGGGATACAGGGGCAGCCACAGCTGCTCTGGGCACCCTGTGCCAGGGTCAGATCAGGGTAAAACCCCCCTGGAACATTCTGCAAGTTTCCCATGGAGCTCCAACCCCACTTACCTGTTGAAAGTAGGATGAATCACCAGCAAAAAGAGCCAAAGCTGCAACAAGGTCGGATTTGAAGAGGGGATCAGCCATGGCACATCACCCTGAGAGAAAGGGAGGGTGAGAAACACGAACACCTGGAGCTGTGCCCCACCTGCCACGATCACAGCGCTAAACCTCACTTTGCCGGGTCTAGGGAAAACCGAGCAGCAGTTAAGCAGAGCTTAACGCTGAGAACAGCCATCCTAAACCCGGCTGAAAGCTTGGCACGGCGACTAACTCTGATCCACACCGCGACAGGAGCCGGGGCACTTCTCTCTGCAGGGCCAAGGAGCAGCAGCCCGGGAATCACATCGGCACCTCGGGAATCACGGCAGCTTCACCCCGGGAATCGCGGCGGCTGCACCCCTCGGGAATCGCGGCTCCACCCCGGAATGCCGAACGCCCCGCCCCGTCCCGGCAGCTCCCGGGCTCCCCCCAGCGTCGCCATCCCATCCCGGAACCCGCGGGCTCTCGCACGTGCGTTATCCCGTGTGTTATCCCGCCGGCACAGCGCTGTCCGTGCCGGTGCTGCAAGAGCCCGGAGAGGCTCCCGGCACCGCGCTCCGCCTCGGGCGGGCCGGGAGCGCCCGTCACGGTGCCGGGCACAAACCGGGCAGCAAGCGGGGGTTCCGCGATGGGCGAAGCGCGGGAGAAGGCAGCCGAGGAGCACCCGCTCCCTTCCTCCCTCCCTGTATCCATCCCCGCATCGCGCACGCACCGCTCCGGCTCCGATTCCCGATTCTGATTCCCAATCCGATCCGCTCCTACGCCGCCGCCGCTCCCGCCGCCCCAGCGCGCCCCGCCCGCCGGACACCCCGCCCATTGGCCGCCCGCCCTCTGACGTCACGGGCCGCGGCCAATCGGCGGGCCGTGCGCCTGCGCGCGTGGCCGGATGCGGGAGCGGGGGTAGGGAGCCCCTTCCTCCCCTTCCCCCCTTCCTCCCTTCTTCTTCTTCCTCCTCCTCCTCCTCCTCCTCCTGCCGCTGTCCCAGGCTGTGGAAGGCGAAGGGGCAGAGCCCGGCGGGGGGTGGGGGAGGGAGGGGCACGGGGGGTGCCCCCAAGGGGCTCCCCAGGAAATCTCCGCCATCCTCGTGTCCCTTCTCCGCCCTCCCCGCGAAGTTCAAGGGAAGAGCCCAGGATGGTTGAGAACTCTCCGGCCCCGCTGCCAGAAAGGGCAATTTACGGATTTGCGCTTTTTTTGGGCTCGTGGTTTGGCTTCAGTGAGTATCCCACAGCCGGATCCATCACCCCGGAGTGCTGCTGTGCTGCGTTCCCGTTTTAATCCGTTTTTTACTCGAATCACGCACATTCTCACATTCACTGAGCACTGGAGGTAGTTGTGGCGTTGCCTTCCCCACCAAAATACTGAAAAAAAAATAATTAAAAAAATAAGTCGGTCTGGTCAACAGCAGTGGAAAATATTTTGGGTTCCATCAGCTTTTCTGTGCTGGTGTGATGGGTTCCTCATTTCTCTGGGGATCCAGGGTTGGAGAGGGTAGGGAACACTTTTCCAACACAAGAAAAGGTGCTGTAAATCTCTTTAGTGCAGGATCCTGCTGTGGGTCTCTTGCACCCTCGGGCAGTGAGAAACCAGGGGGAGTTGGGCTCAGCTCCTCTCCCAGGAAGAACCAGGAAGGATTTTCAATAATTTTTCATTACAGTTCCATACAAACACTGCAATTCCACCCGGTTTTTTTTTCCATTAAATGACCTCTGTGAGATAATTTTCTGCTTTAATATTACCTCTGTTCAGATTCCTTTGGCTTCTTTTTATTGAGGTGTTTGGGGTGGTTTTGTTGTTTTTTCTTTATTTTTCTGCAGTTTAAATTGGAATAAATTCTTGTCTGCCTTCATAGGAAATTAGACATTAAATGTTAAAGCAAATATAAAACTGATCCAGTGTAACCAGGGACTGGGCAGGATTAGTGTCTGAGAGGCAAATTCTGCAATCTTTTGGGAGAGGTATTTTGGTTTAAATAAAAGCAAAATTCAGGAAGTCCAAAACACCATCAGTCTTACTGTGACTTTTTAATTTTGTTGTGCAGTTTTGTACCTTATCTGGGCTTATATTCCTGAGACTTGGCTCTTCTCCCTGGGACTGACATACTGGCCTCAAAAGTAAGTTCAGCCAATTAAACTCCTTAATTATTTTCAAATAAAAAACCTTTTGTTTTTAAATAATAGCCTTGCATTAAATCCATTTTTTCCTGATGATAAAGGGCTGTAATGTTTCTGAAAGCATTTTTTTATGTAGCTATGGTGAAAATGTTTTGTTGTGCCATGAAATAAATAATATTGGGATATTTTAGGATAAATGTGACATTTTGCTTTTAGGAAGTTTGCTGGTGGGAATACAGCAAACTTTAGGCCATAATTAAAAAATAAGCACCTTTTTAAAGGAATTTATGTGATGGCTTGTCAGTAGCTCCAGTGCAGTCAGGATCCATAATCAGAGGTGTTGTTTCTTTTCCTCCTGGAGAAATTCATCGCAGATACAATACCAACATTAAAACTGATTTATTATTAGGCATTTGTTACTAAATGTAAACTTTTAAATCCTTTTTCTCAGGTACTGGGCAGTTGCTCTGCCAGTTTATCTCCTGGTGGCAGTGGGAATTGGGTATATTTTGCTTTTTGGGATTAACATGATGAGCACAGCTCCACTCAACTCCACTCACACCATCACAGGTAATTTTATTGCTTTTTGAAAAGTTTAATCCTTCACTGAGAATTCTGGAAGAATTTGTTCTACAAAGAATAAAACCCAAATTTTAAGCCTTTAAATAAAACCCAAATTTTAAGCCTTTTTTAAACTCAAATATTTCATTCCTTGGAAGTCCTGGTGGGGTTTTCATCCTTTAAAGCAGCTAAATTTGTAGTGCTGCATTATAAAATTACATCATATTCTTGGAAGAAAAGGACCTGGAAGCCGTGAAATGTTTTCCTTATCTTTTGTAGATAACTTTGCAAAAAAGCAGCAGCAGAAGAAATTCCAAGAGGAGGCAATTCCAGCCCTGAGAGATATTCCCATCAGTGAAGTCAACAGGATGTTCTTCCTCCCTGAAAAAGGGATCTGCAACAGCAGATAGTTGTTGTTAAAATCTGTTTGGACAAAGGATTAATAAAACTTACAGAGTTTTACTATTTAAAACCTCTCCAAGCTAAAAATAAAAACTCTCAGCTTTTTTTTTTCCCTGGATTTCTAATTAAATTTATTATTATTATTATTATTATTATTATTATTATTATCATTATTATTCACCTTAATAACCTGCATTCCTCTGAAAATTATGCCCCAATAATTTATCTGGTTATTCTTTAGAAATTGAAAAAGTGGCTTGAAAAGTGTTCTGTTACTTGCAGCTTTCTGCTTGGAATTCCCCTCTGAGAGGGAAAAAAGAGCAGCTTTTAGACAGAGTTTAGTTCTATTTCTCTTTGAATTCAGGGAGAGAAAATGTGTTTTGCCAGTCAAACACTTGAGGATCTTTTTTTCATTATTAACTGGAAGTGTTTGCATTGTAAAGATATTATTAGCTGTTGTAAATATTAATAAAATGTGGCTGTTTTTTCCATCTTCACCATTTACCTGTGGTTCTGGGAGGTTTCTCCTGGGCTGAGGTGATAAATGATCCATTTTCCTTCACACAATTCTTTATTTAGCCAAATCTGTTGATCCCCCAGCCCCCAAAATATCAGATTTACTGAGTTACCAAAAATAATAAAGGTGGGTTGAGAAGATTTGATGAAACAAGTCTTGAAATTACTTTTTCAAACTTATTTTTAAGAAAATACTGACAACAAAGTTAAAGAGAATAGCTGGAATAGAGGAACTGACAGGTCCATACTGTTAAAACCCAAGGTTAAGTGGTTCAGATGTTTATAAACAGTGAATTGTACTTTTTTTTTATTTATTTCCCTTCTCCCAAGTGTCACAGATACAGTTATCTCCAGGACTCAATGTTATTTAGGTCTATTTTAAAACCCAGTGAATAGAACCTCAGTATTTATTAAGCCTGTAACCAACTTCAGCAGAGAATTTAATTTAAAATGTTATTATTTCATTAAAAGATAATAAATTTTTGAGAATTTGCCTGGAAAATCTTATGCCAGTTCTTTAGAAATCTGTCAAAATGATCATCAGCTGCTCTGGAATATTTTAAGACTTGGTAACAATCACTTTGGTGTAAATATAAATCTGTAGCTGGTTGGGTTTTTGCCTGAATTTGGAGGAAAAATCTCCTTGTTCAGTATTCCAGGTAGGATTAAAACACCTCCTTATTGAAGGGAAAAAAGCTTTTCAACATTTCACTTTGAAATACTGAATTTTAGCTGTATTGGCATGTGGGGGCCTTGTATGAAAATGAATTTGTTTCTAAATTAGAACAGCATTGATTTGTGTGGTAATTTTAAGTTATTAAAGAAGTTTTGGGGTTTTGTTTGCTGTTGTTTCTTGGCCCTGCCACAATCCTGTCCTTTTATTAATTTTCATTAATGATTTAATTTCCATGAATTCATGATTTGATGACCAGCAGCCACAAAGGTGTGTTTACCCTTTTGTCACTCCTCTAATCCCGTTCCAGACATTGAAGTATTGACTGCAATCTTTTTTTTTTTTTTTTTCCTGTGTATTTTCCACCCTTTTTCCTTCCTGAGACAGCAATTTCACCTGGAATTCCTCCCTGCCAACGAGTGAAGGCCACCTTTGGGATCATTTGATGGGAGGATTAATTCAGTGCCTTGTCAAGGATGCCCAAATCCCTTCAGGGTCAAGGAAAACTCCTGGAAAACGACCTGAAAAACACAAATGAAAGGATGTAAACCTTGGGCAAAGATTGGATCAGGGATGAATTTCACTTCTCTGCAGACCCCACAGTTATGGGGAGGCCAAGGGGGGCTCTTTGGTCAAGGAGAACTTGCAGGGGTGAAACTCAATCTTGGCTTTTCTGTCACTGCTGCTTCAGAGACACCGTGGTGACCTTTCCTTCAGCTTGGCCATGTGTGACACTTCAGAAATTGCCTCTGGGAGCAAAATCAAACCAGGCAATAGTGGGAGTTTGGGGCTAAAATATGGATTTTGGGGAATTGGGCATCCACAGGTCTTGCCTGTGACTGGGATGAGAAGATACACAGTTCTGCAAAGAGAAGAGGAGGTTTTTAATGTAGATTTATATAAATTTTGCCTTAGATTTTGAGGGAAAAAAGTCTCCCACGTGACTGAACGGTGGTGCCTTTCTTTACAAAACATCCCTGGATATCAGGTGTCCATTCTTCTCAGAGACTGAGGGGAAACTAAGTAAAAAAAAGGAAAAAAAAAACCCCAAAACTTGCCCTTGTTTTCGCCTTTCTGCCTTACTAGTGGCACCTGGATATCAGGGGTCCATTCTTCTCAGAGACTGGGGGGAAACTAAAGAAAAAAAAAGGAAAAAAAAAAAAAAAACAAACCAAAACTTGCCCTTGTTTTTGCCTTTCTGCCTTACTAGTGGCACAGCTGGTGGAGTTCAATCCACTGCATTGTCCCTGCTGGAATAAAGCCAGGCATGAAAATTCGGTTTTGCATTTAAATGCACCTTTTTGGGTTCTCCTGCAGGCTTTATCCTGTTGGGGATGGATGATGTTTTACACATCTTGCTGTGAAAAGGGAAGGGAAGGGAAGGGAAGGGAAGGGAAGGGAAGGGAAGGGAAGGAAGTCACCATGAAATAAGGAAGGTCCCTGGGTTTCCATGGAGCGGGGCTGCCAAATTTGTGTCTCTTTCTTCTTTCCATCTTGGCAGGAATGGGAAGGATGATAAAAACATGGATTGTGAAGATGCTCCAAGGGCTGGAGCAGCTCTGCTGGCAGGAAAGGCTGGCACAGCTGGGATTGTTCAGCTGCACAGGAGAAGCTTTGGGCTGAGCTCAGGGTGGCCTTGCAGGGCCTGAAGGAGCCCCAGGAAACCTGGAGAGAGACAATTTCCAGGGCATGCAGGGACAGCACACAGGGAATGGCTTCCAACTGAAAAATCACAGGTTTAGATCAGATATTAAGAACAATTTCCTCTCTGGCAGGGTGGGCAGGCCCTAGAATAGAATTCCCAGAGCAGCTGTGGCTGCCCCTGGATCCCTGGCAGTGCCCAAGGCCAGGCTGGACACTGGGGCTTGGAGCAGCCTGGCACAGGGGAAGGTGTCCCTGCCATGGATGAGCTTTAAGGTCCCTCCCAAGCCAAACCATTCCATGATTTCCCTTGAGTTAAGCAGATAAACTTTTGCTGATCTCTAAAGCATTGTCCAGACCATCCCAAAATTATTTCATAATTCCTTATTCCATAATGAATTCTGTCAGCTCCACTGGATCATCTCAAACCCCCTGTGGCTGGGCAGGGGAAGAACAGGAGCAAGGACAACCCAAGACCCTCTGATATAAAATAAAAAGCTCTAATATTAATATTAAATGTTCATCTTGGGACACATCTGTGCTAAGAGTCTATAAACATTAAAAATGCAACAAGTTCCTCTGAACTTCAATTTCATTTGTGGGTGGAAATCCCAAAATGTTTCTGCCTTATAAACAAAATATTTGACTGATCTTGTGTAGATATATTTTGTTCACCTTTCTTGTGGGCCTGAGTTGTTAAAATGTTTAATTTTAAGAGTCCTGCTTGCTGAGTCCTGTTGAATTTCCAGTCAGCTTTCACCCAGCTGGGATGAAAGGGGTGTTTTGTATCTCTCCATTCAGGAAGTTTCTCTTTTTCTGAGGAGAAAGTTTTGGAAGGATTCCGTTTTCTTCTGCCAGTTCCCTTCCAGAGGGGTTGCCAAAGTCAGTTTTGTTGGGGTGCTGTGCTATGGATGGAAAGCAGCTGAGAGATGAAGGCAGTGCAGAATAAATAGCATTAAATAGGAAACGTTTCAGTGAATTGAAGAAAACAAAAATTAAAATTAAATAAATTAAATAAATTTAAAATTAATTAAACAAAATTAAACAAAAATTTAAATAAATAAAATTATTTTAGGATATCTTGTGAAACACCTTAAATTATCTGTGTTTTGGTGCCATGTGTTTGGAAGTGGAGAAGTGGAAATGAATCTAAAAGCTGAATTTTCCTTTGTCACTCTGAGGTTTCAATTTCAACTCGTTCTTGTCATTCCCTATGTGACAGGATTTTGTCTCGTGGTGTAAATTTAATTAATGATCCTCTTGTGAGTTTGCAAGTGGAGATCTTCCAAAAAATCCTTCATTCTAATAGGTTTATTCATTTGGAATCTTAATTTTTCCAGACTTTAAATGTGTGACACTCCTTTGTTTGCCAGTACCTGACTGAGAGGAGGAGCTGGCACAAACTTCCAGGGCTTCTGAAAACTCTCTGACCTCATCTCACAACCACCAGAGGTGCAGGAAAGGTCCAAAATCTGAAATTCTGCATTTGCTTTGTCTCATGGCAGTTTTGGTTGGAGTTAAAGGACATTAAAAATAACAAATTTTAAACCTAGTGGGGACAAATATTTAATCCTTGAGGTATTTAGAGGTGCTGGTAGAAAGGCAAGTGCTGAGAAACTCTCTGAGCATGAAAGACATTGTGGGGAAGGTGCCACATAATGCAAGTTTTAATGTGGTATTAAATTAAATTGTGGGTTTTAATCAAGGCTGACTTTTTTTTTTCTGTCTGGAAAAAGATTGCAGGGGGAAAATCTGATAAGAAGAGAATGGCAGAAGCCCAGAAAATATCACAAATGTTTGGCAGAACCTGTGGGTTCTACTGGAAATGGGTGAGGCCAGCTGGGCATTCAGCATTTTTAGCAGAATAAATATATCCCAGGGAGCCTATAAGCAACATTTGAAACAATTCCTTGCCTAATTTCAGTGTGTTTTGTTTGGGTTATTTGTTCAGTGTGTTTTGTTTGGGTTATTTTGGGGCTGTACATTACATTATTCAGCCTCACAATCAATGCACATGAAAATGAAACTGCAATGAAAATGCAATTTTCACTTTCTCAGGGCTGCAGTGTCTAAAATAAAAACTCAGTACAATGCTCCCAATGTTCTTTATCTCTGTTACTGAAACCAACCTGATTTAAATCATTTGTGAAAGTCTCTAAAAACACAAAAGGATTTCCTCCAATTTTCCAGTGCTTTGACTCATTTTCCTTGGAAAGAGAATTATAAATGATTTCTTTTTGAGCTCTGCTGTATTTCTCTGTTTGGTCAGATGTCTGTCCACCCATTCCTGACAGTTCTTTTTGAAATTCTTCATTTTTTAAGGTGGATTCTGGGTCTTTCAGGGCTCTTCCTCAGACTCAGACTCAGCATCATCATTGTAGAAGTGAATTGTGGCTTGTGCAGGAAAACTGGCCAGAACCTTCTCTCCAATGTCAGCAAGAAACTTCTGGGGTTTGGATTTGGGCAAATAAAGCCTGAGAAGAAGAAAACACATTTTAAGAGAAAAAGTTAAACAGTGCAACACTTGTCCATCCAATCTAGCTTAAACATTATAATTTATTTTTTTAATTAATTAATTCTAGAATTAGGATACCAGGGTTAGACTGGGGTTGATTTTAGTGGATTTTGTGTCTCCAGGTGGAGGAGGAGGTGTAGACTGATTTATTTATTTCCAAATCCACATTGTTTTGTATTAAAATCATAGATGGCCCCTCTTGGTTTCACCTGGGCCAATTCCCAGTGAAATCTGACAGCAGTTAAGGTCCGACAGAATTTCATTTGCCAAAGCTTTAAAACAAATACTTGTAAAGAAGAGGGATATTCATTGATTTTCCTTC